TATACGAAACTGTTTCTCGTAGTTTCGAGTCCGAAGCACTTCCTACCGGTACTATTTACAGCTAACTCTGGAAATTAGAAGGTATCACTGCGTACATATTTGTCGTTTATTGCAGTGAGTCAGACTGGCGGCCCCCGTTGTGATTTTCTCCGAAATTAAATAAAACGGCCGACAGAGCGAGATTAACCCATAAACATCTATCTTCCATAATGAAGATTTTTCTCAGACTTTGAATTCAGATATTGGAAAAGTAGGAGGAGGAAGTTTCCGGCCAGAACAATTAATTTTAGTTTTATAAATGTGAGCCGCCGGGGAGGTTGGGAATTCCTCTCCTTTCCGGCAACGGGTGGGTGACCTACTTTCTTGTCAAGGAGGGCGGTAACGTTCGGTTACGCGTTACGCGAGTGGAGGAGAGTCAGAGGGGTCGACGATAAGACGCGGGCAAAGTCGATTAAACACATGGTTTACACAAAACAAAGGTTTATTACAGTCAACTACGGAAATAAAAAGGTAAAAACCTAATTACTGTAAGTGCGCGGATGGCGGGGGGAAAGACAGAGTTTACGATTATGCTTTCATACCTCTCGCAAATATCAGTGGAATATTTTTCCGCAATATCGTCCAAATGGATTGTGGGTTCGACGGTGTATTAAAGTCCCGCGCTGGGGGAAGGACGATGTCGGACTCGGACGTTTCGACTTCCGCGATTGGCGATTTCCCCGAGAGGGGAAGAAGGATGGCTTTTATACCTTTTGTGGTGGGAAAATTAGTCGGGTGATCAATGGTTTTGGCAGGTGTTAGAATGACAAGAATATGACGAATTTTGCCCGTAAGTGTACTAAACTAAGCACGCGAGAATGTTTATATTAAGACATAAAATTCCCACGGACTGTGTATTTTGATTTCGTAGGTAAGGAATAAATTTCTTTTATAAAATTAACTAAACTCTGAATCTCGCATAAATATGTACAGTACATTAAATGAAATAAATGTTTAAATAAAAGCAAAACTATAGCAATTATATATTGTCCAGTCGAATTGGTAATGCGTTTTAATCGCCCCATCTGGCTTCGAATTATAATTTTAAGGAAATTTGTAAATGTGATGTGGCCCGCCCGAATCTCATCGGAGGCGTTAATGGTCCGTCGTCTAAATGAGTTCGACACGCCCGGGGTTTATTGGATACATATTCGAATTTTGAAAAAAAAATTTGACGACGTCGATTTCATTATTACAGTTTTATTCAATTACGGACCATTTATTTATGGAACTATGTGTTAGTGATAAAACAACTATTACGCGCAAGGGGCTATCCACACCGAAAGGAAGGGAGGGGATTACGACGAGTGGGCAAAATCAGATACGGGAAGATCCTTTAAGGATTTCCTTACCGTGTATACCAGCCTTAAGGAGGACAATTCGAAAATGGACTTGTCCAGAGTTTAGGTTAACCGTATAGCCGCTGTATATGTTAGGGAGACATAAGAATTTTAGAAAGGCTTAGGTGGGGCATAGCGCAAAAAAGGTTGGGAAACACTGCACTAAACTCTATTGTGGCGGTACGCTATATTTTTGTAAATATTAATTTTAGTTTAGTTTCGTTTCTTCTTTCTACCCTTTGTTCTATCGTTGTATTTTCTTCTAGAACTTTCTTATCTATTCTCTGTCCCTCGGGTGGGATGAGCAGTTCCTAGAAATTTGAGGAGCAAAGGTGTAAACGGGAGCCGGAGAAAAAAGAGAAGTGACGTAGCGGATCGTTGGTAAACCGGACGGCAGAGTGTACGGACGAGGTGAGAATTCTGGGAGTCGTATTTTCAATGACCGGATAGTTCAGAAAAAAGATCCTGTTTTAAGGTCGTATTGACGACTGTGGAAGGAAAAATCCTAATTATTGAAGAAGAGAACTGGCCAGTTATAGGAGAAGGACGTGTGTTATCCCACCCAACAGTACGCGTAAAGAAACAAGCCGAAAAAAGGGACAAAACCCCAGATATCCCTATTTCTATCTTATCTACCATTTTTTCTGTCTTCTTAATTCTATCCCTTTTTCTGTTATTAGTGTTAAGTAAAGGTTAGTTTTAAGGTTCCGGGTTATATTGTGGCAATCGCGATCTGTATTGTACACGCGCTTTGGATACAGCGAACTATTATTATCGCTGTAATTTCGCACGCTACTGTTTGTACCGTGAAGTTGGAATCCCCCGAAATAGAATCTGTATAAAGACGCGAAATAGCTTAATTGGAAAATTATATCAACTTTCGTTACTTTATCCCGTCTGCCTTTGTGGTGAATTCTAATTTAGCACACTTTTACATCATAAACAAAAACACGTGGCGTTATTAAAGCAAAGCGTCANCTCCATCGTGATAACGCATCCGCCCATTCTGCGCATCTGATTCGGGCTTTCGTCGCCAAACACAATACTCCTGTGGTTCGTCACGCTCCGTACTCTCTCCACATGGCTCCGTATGACCTTTGGCTATTTCTCAAGCTGAAAATGCCGCTAAAAGAAACCCAAATTTAGTCGAGAGAAGACATCGTGCGAAATGCGACGGGCCGGCTGATAACCATTCCAAAAGATGCGTTCCAGCAGTGTTTCCAGCAATGGCAGGAACGCTGGGAGAAGTGTATACATTACCAAGGAGACTACTTTGAAGGGGATTAGGGTTTTGTACCTCAAAGTCAATAAATTTATTTTTGCCGACCAAAGGTCCGATACTTTTTGAACAGACCTTGTACTTCGAAGGGCGCGACGGGGCCGTTGTAGATTTTAAACGTTTCTCGCCATACCGTAAAAGTCTAAATACGTTAAACTTAATAGATTGCCCGTCTTTTGTTTTCTAACTAATTGGTTTTAGGACCGGATGTCCACGGTAATTTCCAAATTTACCACTTTTCGGTCACTCTGGTCGAAGTGCAAAAATTTCTGTTTATATTACGAAGAAATCGGTCCCCGCCGTACTCGGCTAGAGACGGTTGGGTTGAGCTTTTGTTTAAGTAAAATTTCGGCTTTTTCGTCGGGGTTTCGTTTACGTCGTCGATTCCCTAATCTCTTAATTATTTAAATACTTCTTAAATTAAGTAGAAATAAGTCGAAAGCGGTTACTTCGTACACGAATATTTGTAGTCTCGGGAAAAAAGTGGAAAGACAAATTTTTACCACAACGGATACGTAAATCGTAATTTAAGAAATATAAATTCTAGAGCTTTTCTGTGCCTGGCGCATCTCTCTCGTTCATTAAATTTAGTCGTAAATGACGCTGCCCAAGTAACGGTTAACTTTATAACATCGTACAAGGATTGCGCACGTTTTTTCTGCACCCCCTTATAGATGGGACGTACGAAATCGCAATATCGCCGGTTTAACGTCGAAATCCGCCAGTAATATAAAATCGGAGAGCGGAATAAAAATATCAAACATTTTAACGGATTTTTTAACTCCGGTCAACTATACGCAACTATGGTAAAAACGTACCGGTAAATTCTTATCGGTCGGGTTAAGTTATAAATCTACTGGCGATTGGCGTAATCGGGCCAGGGCGGCCGAATACCTAGCGAGCGGGCGGCTAACGGCCCGGAACCGGTCCCGGATAGAATCGGGGATGCGTTATACGCCTAGCGTCCACCCCGGGTCCCGTAAAGCGCGCCAGCGAATCTGGCCTTTTGGATGCCGACCATACGGCGCTTCCACTCCGCCACTAATATTCCAATATACGATAGCCATCTTATTTTTTTCACGCGTAGTATAGAAATTTGTAATAAGATACGTAATACGGTCATAATAAAATATCGCGCCATTATTTTCGTACAATTAAAATTAATATCTATTTATTTTTTAGAAAATACCAGGGAAGCGGCGCATCCACCGCTTCCCACCACGGCGCGCCACTGTTCGACGCCGCCCAACAAGATAGACATTCGAAATTCACGATATTTTCGACCATTAGAAACGCGATATCTCGGTACAATGCGCGAAGTTCGAATTGAAAAGAATAAATTCCCCGAAAAAGATACGAAGCCATTTCTCTCCAGCATTCTATATTGTTTTAAGTGCAGAAATTAAATAGAAATTTCCTTTCGGCCATTTGATCTTGCGGGAAATTGCAAAGTCGGAGCCAAAAATTGCTTTGTCTGGAAACGTAAGGTCGGTGGTAAACTGGTAACACATTTTCCTAATTTTGTGCCCGAACACGGAATGACAATTGCTGCCCGAAATTTGTGATAAGTTAACCAGTGGTTCGGTTGAAAACCTAGAAACTTTGTGGTGCGAAGTAAAGAAAACTAAAGACGACAATGGAGATGCCACGTTTCCGACCAGTTTGTCGAGTCTTCCCCACTCCGGCGCTTGTGTGGAAAGAGTCTTCTCGCAACTTAATTTAACTAAGGCAAAACTTCGCAATAGACTTCGGGTCGACACCCGTAATGCCGTACCGGTATCGAAAGAGTTATTAAAAACCCAAAACCGAAAATGCAAAATGGCGATGTAGACGACGTAATACGTCTGTTCAACGCGTAAATTAAGATTTGCATTTTTTTTTATACCTGTAGAGTCGTTTTTGCTACTTTTATTAAAGAAAGTTTTGTCTTACTATTCTTTTATTTAAGTGCCTATGTGGCAGATTGAAAGGTGTGTGTATATATATATACATACATATATACATACGTACACCTTTGTTTACGTAAACAAAGTATTGGTGAATATGAATTTGAAATAAGCACAAAAATTGAGTATGCCGCTATATTAATATCAAAAGCAACCAACCATAGAAATAGTACATTTTTTGAAGGAGCTTCCGTACGTCTTGAAATTTCATTGTGGCAACTTGTTCCCCTCCAGCGTATTAGGTAACCGCGCAGTGGCAGACTATATTCGTTCGTACATTAGCGCGCATTTTACCACAAATATTCGTAAAAACTGATTAGTCCGTAGTTAAAATACATTAAAATTATATGAAAATGTTTCGAATATTAATATTTAATTAAAAATAAAAATAAAAAAAGGGGCTCCCGAAATGTAGAGGGCAGTACCTTCGTCCACGTGGTAAATATGAACTTTATACGGGAGAGTCACGTTGTATTTTAATTTCGTCTCTTTTTAACGTTACAAATAATTATTTTATAAAGTTCGCCACTCGATTAACAGGTAATGTTGTTTTATTAAAATATAAAACGTATTCATTTATAAAGATTATAATCGGCGTTATTGTTAACAAAAATATTCTATATGTCATTCTGTGTTCGGCTCCTCGTAGTCGTGTACTCGACCAGTTAATCTTGTCTACGTATAATTCGTATATATTTAAAGATCGTGTTATTTACTTTTAGAAAATATAAGTAACGAAGATTAAATAAAGGGTACAATTCGAGCTCTGAATGAGATAGTTGGGACTTCAATATCGGAGCTGTAGAGTATACCTATAGGAGCAAAAACGTTAAAGGAACCGTACCTCTACAGTGAACCTTAGTGAGATACAGACCCCCAAAATCAGGTTGTTCGAGATCGCGAGTTACGTTGCTCTGATAAGACTTCTGTTTAACTATTTAGCCTGCGCAACTATGTTAGCTTTGTTTGTTCGGTTATGGCGACGCCACACTTGGGCGATCTGCCTAGGAGGATGCCTTCCGAGAGGTCTTTTCGAGGGAAACTGGCCGCCGTTTGGGCGTTTCGGACGTGGAGAAAACCCGAAAAACTCCGCGCGGCCGGGCCGGGCGCGAACCCGCGACCGAACTTCCGGCGTTCGGGATGCGGAGACCGCTCGAGTGCCGGCGGGCGTGCCCGCTCGACCGTTCTCGGAGTGCTCGACGTTACTTAGTTTTGGAGGGTGCGGGAGTTCGGAAGTGCGCGACTACGCGTGGAGCTCCGTGTGTCGAGGAGCGCGGAGAATAGGCCGTATGCCGATACGTGTTAAAAACTGGCCTTTAGAGGCAAATATCTCGCAGAGGGCTGCAGATATAGGTGTGGTTCCTTTGACTTTTTGCTTGTGTGGTGGATGCAAAACCCCTCGTTCGGAGCTTGAAACTTACCGATTATATTTTGGTATACGTTTTTATATTAAAGTGACAAAACTGATTGCTTTGATATCGGTGAGGTTCGTCGTAAGCACCTCTTAATACGCTCCCGAGAGAACGCAATATAATATTTTATCCGTCAGTTCCTGGAAACGTGTATTTACTGTGAAGATATATTTGATGAAATTCAAAATTTTGTGATATCAGATTTAAATTCTTTCTAAGATTTGATAAAACATTTAAACTATATCAGTCAATGTAGAGCAGTGATTCTCAAACTTTTTCGATCCACTGCCCCCTTTGTTCCATAAAGTTATACCCAACGCCCCCTAACCCATTTTCTCTTGTGTGAGAAAAGGATTGGAAATATTCTTAGGAAAACTTTTCTATGAATCTCACACTTTGTGCCCTTACTGTACATTGTTCTCATCATCTGGAAACCATTAAACGCAATGTTTCCTCTTATCAGCCCCAATTTTGCCTTTGGTCACCGTTCAATACCCTGCCTCTATCATAGATCTATTCATCGCGCCAGAAGGGGGCGTTATTGCTTACTTTGAGAAACGCTGAGCTAAAATAAAAGTCAATGTGTTAGAAATATTCAAGTTGTGACCTTCAATAAAAAATAAAAAATATATAAAATGTCAACATTTTATATATATTCCGTCGAATTTTTATATATAGAATTTGTCTGCCGTCGCCCCTCTATATTTCCTTAACGCCCCCGAATTCTCTTTGAGCCTTCTACTGCCCCCCTGAAAGCCTCCAGCGCCCACAAGGGGGCGTTATCGCCCACTTTGAGAAACGCTGATGTAGAGGTTAATTTGGTGCAAGTCTAGATATGCTTTTATATTGCTGAAGATTTTTATTTTTAAAATTGTTTACAATCTATTAGATTAGATTACTTATATATGTAGATAAAAAATTATATTGTGAATAGTATAAGACTTGTATCAATTGTACTTATGAGTCAGCTTGCTTCAATCTGTGACCTTAAATTTTTTACTTCAAATTACATTATACTTTCTATTAATGATTAGTGCACCAGTAAGCATTTTCACTGAGTACCTGATTACTGATTAATCAGCAGTTAAAAATCTGCCAACTTATGATATAAATAATTAATAAATATTATTAGAAACGTTCTCTGCAAGTAAATGTTTCATAAAAGCAAACTAAATTTTTAAATCAGACAATAGAAAGTAAGAGATTAAGTCACATGACTGTGTTATAACCGTTATAATTGTTTGTTATGTTCTACAACTGTTACGTTGATGACTGCTTTGTTGTTTATAACAAACAAACAATCAACCCTCAAATCATACTTCAACGTGCCAACAATATCCGAAAGAATATATGCTTCGAAATAGAAAATAAAAACAACAGCAAACTCAATTTTTTAGACATCAGCATACTAAGACATGATAATTACATTACTTTTAAAAAATATATAAAATCATGTGACATCAGTAAAGTAATAAAGTAATAAAATATCTTACAGGTATTCCATTATGATTTTTAAAAATTCCACCTCTTAATATAAATTTAATTTTAGATTTAAGTTTACCCCTTTTATTTTATTTAGCACATTATACTATCCTCATGTGTATATGTGTGGAGCCAAAAGAACTATTAGCTCCTTTTCCCCCTTTTTTTTTTAAACTATGTGTATATCTTACGAGTCATGTTGGTTCAACTGTCACTATCTCAGATAATTAAGTTTTATTATATAAATCATTGTATGCGTATCCTAATTTTTTCAATGCATTCTGTAAATTTGTAAACCTGTAATCAGTTAACTGATAAATGTGTAATAATAGGACTGAAGAGGGACATTAAGCTCGAAATGCATATTCGTCCACACCAATAAAACAACCTTTTTCCTCTGAAAGTGTTCCTGTGTGATATATTCTCAACAGCAATGTTGTGCTAAGAAAATACATATAATAGAAAACAACAAGCAACCAAGATTTAATATATTTAAAATTGATTTTAATACAGTATGATTTAATGACTCCTCCTGATCTATCCTGTACATTTCTTATCACACTTTTTTCCCATTAACAAGTAAAGAATAGAGGGTATGTTGGTTGTAAATTGATATGATTTGTCAGTTGTTCAAGATCAGCAAGTTGAGTTTACCCCATATTGGCATAGAGCACATGCTGTTGGGGTCAAGATATTCTGAGTACGGCCACAACCAAATTCATTCTTACAATTACTCACAAATACTAGATCTGCTTCAGCTAGATAGCTAAATTCAGAATAATAGAAAGTAGAATATTATTGGATTGAAAACATTTGTCAAACTTAAACTAAAGATTGCTAGATTTAAAAAGTAAGGTTAATAGTTGTAAGTGATGCAAGTTTCTAACTAGGTCCTTAAGTGAATTGGTTGTCAAATTTATTTATTCTAGATAGCGAAAAGATATAAAATAAACTCCAACATAATAAGTTTGTTTTAATTTGCATCTCTTACATATCACAAAATAAAATCAGCAAAAATTATAAAAATGATGCACCAAAAAAAATTAAAGTTTTATCATAAAAAAGACATTTAGATTTTGATTAATATTTTAGTCATTAAATCCTTCATATGGAATGCACAATGAAGTACAAATACTGTATTTACTCACATATAAGAAATTTCGCATATAGGACGAGGTGTTACTTTAAATATCAAAATAAAGAAAATTAGACTTATTANTCTTACAATTACTCACAAATACTAGATCTGCTTCAGCTAGATAGCTAAATTCAGAATAATAGAAAGTAGAATATTATTGGATTGAAAACATTTGTCAAACTTAAACTAAAGATTGCTAGATTTAAAAAGTAAGGTTAATAGTTGTAAGTGATGCAAGTTTCTAACTAGGTCCTTAAGTGAATTGGTTGTCAAATTTATTTATTCTAGATAGCGAAAAGATATAAAATAAACTCCAACATAATAAGTTTGTTTTAATTTGCATCTCTTACATATCACAAAATAAAATCAGCAAAAATTATAAAAATGATGCACCAAAAAAAATTAAAGTTTTATCATAAAAAAGACATTTAGATTTTGATTAATATTTTAGTCATTAAATCCTTCATATGGAATGCACAATGAAGTACAAATACTGTATTTACTCACATATAAGAAATTTCGCATATAGGACGAGGTGTTACTTTAAATATCAAAATAAAGAAAATTAGATTTATTAATATAATTCTAATTTTATTTCGTTTAATCACAAATAAAATATCAAATGCACATAAATATATGCATTGTCCTGCAAAAATTACTGGCATTTTTAAACTTTAAGGAAAAATCTTGTAAAATCAGCAACATAATTTCTTCGTGTAAAACTGAACAATCGGGAATCTTTTATGCGTTATTAACAGTAGAATCCATTCTTCGTCAATTACACTTATGAATTTCTCCGAATTCTGATTTCCAAATAATCATGTTTTCACATGGGAATGGATTAAAAATTATATCGGGCTCCTGTGTGATTTTAGAATTTCAATTCAAAGGCTTTGCTTTTCCTATTGCTATTCATCTTTACTCCTGACAATACGCAAGAACAATTCAAACAACCCAGATAAAATAATTTTGTTTTTAAACACCAGGAGCTGAGCATCTGGTAAAAAATGCAAATACACCATTCACAAAAATTATTACAAAAATGCAAACAATCCTTCACACGTGTGTATAGGACGACCCAGAATTTTGAAGCAGTGAAAAATGAAAAAACCTTGTCTTATATGCGAGTAACTAAATGAAATATGTAGTTTTTGAGATTGTAAATGCTTTATATAGTGAATACTGACCAACTGTAGAACTAGACTAAGATTAAGAAAGGGATTTCCCATGCTGAAGAGCTGGTTATAATCTGAGTTGTCAATAAACAGCTAGGTCATTAAATGAGGATTGGCTGTATTCCATAATACCCTATTTGCTTTGTTTCATTTCATTCTGTCTCAACTTATCATGCATTAATAATACACAGTGTTTCTATGGTTTCTGAACTTTTACTTTTTTTATTAAATTATTTTGTAATCCTTATAATTTACATGCCTCAAAAACATTTGGAATTATTTCTGAAGAAAGATATTAATTTATATAATGTTTAATAAGTGAAATATTTGAGA